TTATTTAGCTTTAATATCATATTCTAAACAAATGGCTGACTCTTGTACATCAACATATAATATATCATCTGTAGGAGCTAATGGTAAATATCAAATAAAACTAAACAAAAAAACAATTAAATTTATATTTTCATAAATTTTATTTACTATTTAGATTCATATTGTCCGGCACTTTTTGATCGTATTGCTTGTTGGCCACCAACAGAACCTGGTGTACGTCGTTATATATCTTGTCCCAGTAATGTTTTTCCAAACTCTAGTTCAGATGGTATAGATATTTTTATAATTGAATATGTTAATAGTAATAAAAATTTTCTTATAGCTTATGCTACACGATTATGTACAAATCAATCTCGATGGGAAGATAAAAGTCACTATGGTTTATGTATTGGATGTTCACCTGATGAACTTTCTAATTCAGTGTGTATTAATAAATAAAAAAACAAACAAATCAATCAGTAGAAACGTTTTTTTTTTTGGTTAATTTTAGAGTAGAACAAATACATTTTCATTACCTGCAGCTTATATCGTTACAAGACGATATTTTATTGTTTGTGCAAATGGTCTTTCAATTATTCTTCTTGCTTGTGGTATCCTTATTTTACTTGGCAATAGGTTTGTCAATAGATATAATACTAACAAGAGTATTCCGAGATTACCAGGATTGGGAAGAGGGGGAGGGGAGGGGGCGCTGATGAAAGATTTTTGCGATTGCAGAGTCATTCTCTGCTTCGGATACCCATGAATATTAACATTTCGATTTTATTATTTTAGTCGTCTTCGACAATGTTCTCGAAATATTCTTCATGTAAATGTTTTTCTTGTTTTTCTCATTCGATCAGCAATTCAACTTATTGCTGAACTTCGTATGAGTCGAGGTTATTTTGCTCATAATGTATTTGATCGAACTGATGCATGTAATCGAACAACAACTTATTTTAAAGAAGATCAAGTGAGAAATTTTTATTCTTTCTATAAAGACAAAATAAACTGTTTTCAATACATACACATATAAACGAAATGAAATTTGTTTTTTTATTTTTAGTTACTCGATTGTAAATTATTTACTATTTTAATGAATTATATCAATAGTAGTGTTTCACATTGGTTTGTTTTTTGTGAAGCATTTTATTTATTTCGTCTTTTACGAGCTAAAGCATATAAAGATCGTGTTCGATGGTATATATTAACCGGTTGGTGTGAGTATTTCTTTATTAAATATATTGTTTATTCATTGTCAAAAGAAAAAAAAACATATCATTCTTATAGTAGCTCCACTTATTTTAACAATACTTACATATACAACACGTTATATGAAAAAAACTGATTTACATACATGTTGGTTTGAACCATCAACTTATGATTGGATTCTTCATGGACCAAATGTTATATTACAAATTGTAAGTTTAATAATGATAAATTTCTTTTGTTTCTTTTTGACGCTTTGTTTTTTTTTTGGTTTAGTTTAATTTTATTATATTTATTTATATATGTGTATTACTTGCACGAAAACTTAATAAAACTTATCGAACAGCAGCTTTTTCTGATCGAAGACGTTTTGCTAAATATAGGTAAAATAAATTGTTTCAATAAAGAAGAAGAAAAAAAAAATATCTGAAATTAAATTTCTTTAGTCGATTAACACGTTCAACATTAATATTATTACCTGTATTTGGTATACATTATTTTTTATTTATGTGGAATACAAAACCATTTTTAATTTCAAATTTAATTCTTATTCATCTTACTGTACATACAGTAGCATCATCACTTCAAGTAATTGAAAGAAGAAGAAAAAAATTAATTTTTTTATTTTGTTTTGTTTTGATTTTTTGCAAGGGTTTAATTGTTGCATTAATTTATACATTAATTAATGCTGAAGTTCAACGTGAAATGTTTCGTAGTTTTGATCGATGTTTAACAAGAAATAATACAAGATGGCAACAACCATATTTATTTCGAAATTATATGAATAAATTAGATAATGATCGTTTATATTCACTTGGATATCCAGTACGATCAACACCCGTTCAATATCGTCAAAAATCACAATTAACTGGAGTTATACAATATCATCGTTGTGGAAATCAACATAAATTTAGTTTAAGTAATCCAAGTCAACAAAATTCAATAAATACAGCAACAGCTATAGCAAAAGAATTATCATTATTAAATTCAACAGCAACTCGTCGACAATCGTTAGTTAACATACAGAATAATCCTGTTTATTTTACTTGATATCAACGAAAAGACTTTTTTTTGTGAAACACAATCTTAAAAGGAGTGTTGAAGTATATAAGGTGGAAATTTTCACTCCTCCCCCTCCCGCCCCTTCTACACACCGTGACAGACGTAGTTGACATACGATCATAGCTCGTATATCAATAACTTCTTGTCACTACTTTGTTATTGTATGTATAGAGGATTAAGTAAAAGGACGGTGAAGAAATATGCCCCGAAATAGATTAAATAAAACAATCTCCTTGTAATTAGCAAGAGCAGTTATATTGTGTTTCACATTTTAATCCCGCTGGGATTGCGTTAACAAATTTTTTTGAATTAAATGAGAAATTGTTTATTTTTGTGGTGTTAATGTTGTTGTCGTGTTAAAGAAAAAAGATAAGTGTAGAATTTTATTTTATGTATACCTATTCATTTTTTTTGTATGTATGTATATATATATATATAAACAATCAATCAGTGTTGTATCTTGTAATATATGATCGAGAAGTCACTTTTCTATATTATAGTTGTTCATTTATAAATTTGTGTATTTTCAGAATTGCCATAAGTACTTCATGTTGCCATTTCGCAGTGGAAGAAAATGTCTACTCCATTTGGGTCTTCGAGTTACTGCTGCCATAAACTGATCGTATAACTAAAATGAACCATGATTTTCAATAGAGCTTGTATAATCTTTGTAGAAACAATTATAATGAATAATAGTAGTAAAGAGTCAAGCAAGGAATATTAATATCCATTTTATTCATTCAGTTTTGTATGCTTATTTTCATTTTTTAATATCGAAATAAGATTCGATGAATCTCTTATTATTTTTTCTATCATATTTGACTAACATTTATTATATCTAGAACAAACTTAGATTCAAGTTTTTACTGAATCGATGATAACAATAATCTTCATTCAAATTTCGACAAAGAAGAAAAAGAAATAAAAATATTTGACGAGTCAGATTCACAAACAGCAACCATGGCTGAAAAATTTTGTAGTTTTCTTGAGTAATCAACTAAAAATTTTAAAGAAAGAAAATTTATCATTAAAATCGAAATGACATTCTAATTATAACAAGAAACAGATAATGACTCTCAAAGTATGTACTGTTTTCAAATACATTGTCTTTCTGTCTTGCTCATATATGTTTGTCTTCAATCATTGCAATAGAATATTGTAATTGAATGCTACTTCTCAGTTCCGATCAACATCTGATTCTTTCCAAAAGAAAACACAGATCGAAATGAAAGTCATTGGTCAACAACAGAAACGAAAAATCGAAGTCCTACAATCTCTATCCAAGGATTGTTCATTAATTCTTCAGGATCAATCGATATTTACCAACATTGATCATAATTCAACAATTATTAATGAAGATCGATTGATTCGAACGTTGCTGAGATTAAAGAAAGAAGGATTCATTACCTATGATGAATATCATTAATCAAGATCTGTAGGACCAAGACAAGTTCGCCTCTATAAATTACTAAAACTGAACAAACCCAATTTTCCATTAAGACCAGTCATATAAGCTATAAAGAGGATGTGGGATGTATGTATTTGGACCAGTTGTACATAAAACGAGTATGTACAAGAGGCTTATTTGTTAGTTAAATCAATGGTTAGAATGATAATAATGTCAAATTAAGAAAACTGGAGTAAGAAAATGAGAAAACAACAACCAAATAGCAACAAGACGAACAAAAATCAGAGCGTTAGTAAAAAAAAGGAAAAAAATTTGTTCGATGTGCAGTTATAAATGAGACAAATCGTTTCGCTAGCGATCGATTACCCTTAGAAAACAATTAAAGAAGACATGTGAATTCCACATGTTAACCCTTAAAGGGCTATGCTGAGAACCTTTTTCAATGATTTGTTCATATCATCATTAAGATAGTTAATAAATACTGCCTAGATTATTATCAATCACATCATTTTATCTTGGGACAGAAATACCAACTCATATAATGCTAACTATTCTAACAAGGACATAGTGCTTGAACACATTATAATACATAGATTCATAGTAAAAAAAACAGGCAAGTATAAATAAGACTAATCGTAGAATTTACTTATGGATTTAACAGAGTGTGGTCCATTTTCTATTATAGCATTACAGAATCGCGACATTTGTGTAATCAAAATACAAGTAGTTTTAGAAGGATGATTAGATATATTATAAATAGAATGCATACGATTGCAAAGATAGTTTGCATATTAAATTTAAATGATAATTATCAAACAATTTTTTGAATTGTCAGACAAAACAATGGACTTTTTTACTACTCACTGTTGTTTTTCATTGGTATTTTTAAAGTAAAACTCAAAATTTTCTTGGATTCCGTTAGAAAGAAGATATTTTTTCTCCTTCTAACATAAAAATAACATATCTCTGTCAATATTAAATCCTTCAAGTTGTGATGCAACCATGATATGAAATTGGGATTAGTTTATACGAAGGCTTGATGATAGTATTCATGCATAATTAAGAGTATTAAAATTTGATTTACACATACCATATTCAATAATCCTTTGTTATCAATTCAATGACAAAGCAAACTTTAGAAAAAAAAGAAAAAAAACTAAAATACTCATCATAATTCTTTAAAAATCTTTCGAATACAAAGTTTCTTCAAATCTTATATTAGAAGATAAGACAAAGAGAGAAAAAATATTTAAAAAAAAAGCAGATATTAAATTGTTTTCGTTTCATTTTGATAATATAAGTAACCAACGTCGACTAATAACCTATATTTATTTTCAACAAAATGAAAATAGTTATTTGTCTATGTCTTATACTTTATTGGTTAAGTTTTCCTGTTTATCCTTTTGGTCATTCATTATTACCACTTTTTTCTCTTGATCCATCTTATATAAATATAAATCATGGTTCATATGGTTCAGCACCAAAATATATTCATGAAAAACTTCGAGAATACCAATTAAAAGCTGAACGTAATCCTGATCGATGGTTTCGTTTAGATGTTCAAATTGAAATGGAAAACTTACGAAAAAAATTAAGTAAATATGTTAATTGTGATCCAGATGATCTAGTTATACTTGATAATGTATCAGCTGGAATAAATTCAATTCTTAAATCATTAAAATTTCAATCAAATGAAACTATTTTATATTATAATATTGCATATGGAATGGTTAAATTAACATTACAATATCTTTCAACAGAAATTTTTACTCAGAAACAAATTATACAAATAGAACTTAATCATCAAACTATTCAAAATACAAATTTATTATTAAAAAAAACTCAAGATATAATAAATAAAATAAAAAATGTTAAATTAATTATTTTTGATCATATTAGTTCAACACCAGCAATATTATTTGATATTGAATCAATGTTAAAATATTTTCATAGTCAAGGAATTTTAACACTTATTGATGGTGCACATGCTATTGGTGCAATTGAACTTAATTTAACAAAATTAAATCCAGATTTTTATTTATCTAATACACATAAATGGTTGTATACTCATCGAAGTTCTTGTTTACTTTATATAAAAAAAGATCTTCAAAAATTAATTCATCCAATAATAACATCATTTGGTTATTTACAATCATTTCAAAATGAATTTTTTTGGCTTGGAACAAAAGATTATAGTTCTTATTTGACTATATCAGATGCATTAGATTTTCGACAAACAATTGCAAATGAAATAGATATTTATAATTATAATCATCAATTAGCTATTCAAGCTGGATATTTACTTGCACAAATGTGGAATAGTTCAATATTAATATCAAATGAAAAATTTATAAGTACAATGAATAATATAGAATTACCTTTAATTATTAATACATTAGATAAAATGAATATTTTATATCAAAAATTAATAAATCAATATAATATATTTTTACCAATGATTGAATTTGATAAGAAATTTTATTGTCGAATTAGTGCACAAATATATATGGAATTAAATGATTATCAAACTGTTGGAAAGATTGTTTTAGATGCTATTTCAACTATAAACTTTTTGCCAAGTTTAAAATAAACAATAGATAATTTTTACTTTGTTTAATCAATTTTTTTATTCAATAAAACTATCCCTATGTTTTACCGGCTTTACTATAGATAGATTATGTTCATCATGTAATGCAAATTGGATAAAAATTGGCGATAATGCGAACAAACATGAGACTTGAGTTGTTTTGTGACAGAATTGTAAATGAATTTTCGAATTTCATAATTAGAAAATACAAACAACAAATCTTTTAAACTGATCACTGTTCTTTTATCCTAATCTACCTTAGTGTAGAAAAGAAAACAGATGGATCAATTTCTTTCCAGTTTCTAATATAAGTATTTAAAGAATAAATTTCAACTTGAGGATGGGGTATGGGTGAAACAAAGGTTCATATCCTACTCTCCACACCCCTATTTATTTTTATTTTAGTAGAATATCTATTTCATTATTTTCTCTTACTCAAATATGACAACAAAGACACTACTTGATCAATGGGACAGAAGTATTCAAGTAATGACATGGTCAAACAATGGTCCATCATTCTTTCTTGAACTGGGTGAAGAAGGAAGTCATGTTATTTATCAAGCAGCCAACGTTCTCACTGTGGTGAATTTTCGAACTTGCCACGATGTTAACCTTCATCTAACTGATAATAAAATATTACTTGCTACTCATGACAATTTTCTTTCGCCGATAAATATCGCTTTAATTACAAACGATGGAACAACGCCGATAACGACACACAATGATCAGTTAATCGCCAAAATATATCTTAGTTATGGTTATAAACAATTTTCATTTTTAGGAGCACGAAATAAAACTGTTTCAGACTGCCATTTAGCACTAGTGAATTTCACTGTTGGGAAAGTACCTCTTGCTTTTTTTAATTCACGGTGGTCCACCGAATAGTTGGTATGGAACATGGAGTCGGGAATGGAATTTTCAAGCGTTTGCTGCACAAGAATAAGCAGTTATTGCCATTCTTTTTTTAATTAGGACTTAGTACCGCTCTCAAAACAATATCTATACATTGATGAAAATCGAGCTATGACATTGGATGCTAATTATGGCGCATTTATGATCAACTGGATAGCTGGACATCCAGAAATGAGTCGTCGTTTTCGAGTTCTCATATGTCATATGAGATTATGGACTAAATAAACTATTTTTTTTCTCCAATTTGTCAACAATAAACATACCATTTTTTACTAAAATTATTCTATTATTTTTATCTTCAATGAATAAACTTTATCAAAATTGAACGGGAAGTTTTCATTTTTTCTTGATCTTCTTCTTTTTTACATGACCCACTTCATGTACTCTTCTGCTATTTGTCCTTTCGGCAGTCATCATATCATTAATTTGTCAACCATTGTTCAGTTTCGTATTAGATTTGTAATAATTTCTAAATCGAGCAACTACTCACAATATACAATTTTTGCAAGTATTAATTTATTATATCAATAAAATAATTCATATTCAATATAAAATATTTTCTATTTCACCGACGAATACTTTTGACATAGAGTCGTCTTCTTTTTTTTCTAGGCAGTACTTTGTCTAAAAAAAAAGTGGTCGGAATGTAAGTGAAGAATTTTTTAAATTATTTATAACATAAAATTAATTGAAAAACTTTCAGTTATTATTGATCCATAAAGGTTTTACATGTAAGAAAATACTTAGAATTCAACTATGGTCACGATAGACAATAGTGTTCTGTTGATCTATTGTTTAGACGTCTTATGAGTCACATAATATACAAATTTTCAAGAAAACTTCTTTTTCGCTTATGAAAAAGATGTTTGACTCATATTTTTTATGATTCATTCATTTGTAGAAAGAAGAAAATGAATGTAATAATGATTGCACAATGTCAAAGAAATATTCAAATATATAAAAAAAAAATAAATGTTTAAGATGAGAAAATTGTAAATTAAAGAAAAAATGGAAGTCGAAAATGATATTTTTTCAAATAAATCGTATCTTAAAAAAATAAATAAAAATTTTACTGATTTAATTGAATTAATTCAATCAAATTTTAAGCCATTATTATTATTATTATCTTCAAAAGAATGTTTAGAAATAAAAGAAATTTCATTTGAATATTTACAAGAATTTAATGGATCAAATCAAAATCGACAAATTGATTTATTATCCATGATAAATGATTTTCATAAATTATGTTTATTTTTATCATTGAATCCATTATCTTATGTTTCACATTATTTTATCGAAGAACTTTATCAATTAGCATTGAATAAATTACAAGTTAAACAGCATTTAGGTTATTTTCGATTTCAAGATTTTATTTTGTTTACGAAAAAATCTTTTTTTTGTTTTGTTTTTGTTTTAGCATTTTATTGCGAAGATATTCTATTAACATTGGCTGTTTGTTATGATGATGATCTTCGATTTTCTTGTTTCAAATTAATTAGTTTATTGATGAATGAAAGTCAACCAACGACTAAAGATAGACTAGCATATTTAAATAGAATATGTTATGAATCTCTATATGATTTTCATATTTATTATGATAAAATAAAATCTTTTACAATTGAATCAAAAATAATTGATTTAACAAAACAAGATATCAATGATTTAATCAATAAACAATTTATTAGAAAAGATGTAGAAGAAAAAATTATCGAAGCTATTTATCAATTAGGTGGATATGTTTTCATTAAAATGCATAGAAGTCCAAAAGATGCTTATCAAAGTAAGGTACTTTTTTGTTTATATTAACTTTCATTCGTTTTCTATCCCTTTTTCCTTGCGAATCGGCATTCAAGTTCGTTCAGTAACTTATTCCACTGCGTTCAATCTTGTGATAACATTTCTTGATATTTTTCTTGTTGATTTCAACTAATTTTACGAGTGAAATTGCCATTTCTCTCACACTATTAATGTTTGTATAAAGAATAGCGGGTAGAAATTTTTTAAAATAACTTTTGATGTAAACAAGATCGAGAGCTACAGTTATCACTTTTCGGAGCACGAGATAAAGACGCTTTGAATCGTATTGTAAAAGTTTTTCTGACTTGCTCTCTTCTAAGGTTTTTCAATCGGCTTTTTTGAAAAGCAATGTATCCAATGAGATGACTATTGTCAATATTCAATAGTCAGGTATGCATTCAAACTACCAATGGAAGATTGACAAAATTGTGTAAGTTTCACATTTTTAGATTTAGTTATTCAGAAGCCATAGATATTCTAGTCAGTATTCTTGGCAGATTTTTCAAGCGAGTCTTTTAAAAAAAAATCACTTTGTTGCTTTTTTTCTTACGTTAGAAGAAATCATTTTTCGAATACTCTTTATAATGATAAAAACCACAGTATTCTATCTTGTGTTTATCAAAGGTTCTTCAAAACATACCCATCCACCCTTTTTCTTAAATGAGCTTTAAGATAGTTGGCGAGGCTATCAATAGTTGTTTTGTCTTGATTGTTAGTTAGTTAGTACCCATAACTTGTATCAGGTTCAATCCGACCGACTACAATACGTTCGAATATGATCTCCATTCGCAAGCTTGACTCCAGAGACATGTCCCAATATTCTATGTTTGTGCAAGCTACGAAGATTGTTTGCTTTATATATCATGAGGATTTTGCAGCGATTTGTTAGTGTAACATAGGAAATATGGCAAGTAGGTTTGAGTTGTGTTGTCTTCGTGATATAAATATAAATGTTTATTATTTAAGATCTCTGTAAAGAAATCAACGATGAATGGTCTCGTTATTGGAATTTAAAATCAGAGGAAGATGCTCGTTTATACTTTATGAGAGTTGAAAATATATATCAATTAAAATTACTTTTTAAAACAAGTGATCGTCTTCATGAAGATCTTAAACAAATCGATTCTGATGGAAAATTAATTTTACGTAAATGGATTAACTCCATACCAAATGAATATCGATGTTTTGTTTGTAATAGACAATTAAATGCTGTTTCAACATATCAATTTAATCAACAATCAATTAACAATGAAAAACAAATAAAAGATTTAATTAATTCAAAATCGTTTGAAGATATTATTTTAAAAATACCATATAGTCATGCTGTTGTAGATTGTTCTATAGATCTAACTAATTCGAAAGTGACTATTATAGAAGTTAATCCATTTAGTAAACGATCATCAGCAGCGAAATTTTCATGGACTATAGATAAATATATTTTATATTATTATTATCAGAATAATCAATCTGTCTTTATTAAATTATAAATATTCTTTTTTTTTTTTGTTAAATATGTTTATCTAATAATAATTGCAAATTATTATTTTATTTACAATAATGAATATCGATAAAAAAATCATATTATCTTCATTGATTTGTTTCTTATAATATCTATGAATCGAATGATAAACATAATAATTGATATACGAAATCGGAGAATTTTAGATATTAGGATTAATTTCGACTATCGACATTTCCTATTAACATGGATATTACTCTTCGCACATGAAAAAAGAATTTGAAAGTCTTATTAGAAAAAAGCAACTATTACATTATTCTAATTTGACAATAAAATCTTGTAGAATTCCCTCATATAAGTTTGATGGATAGTTTATACCTAAAGAATATTTTAAATGTTGATATCAGTCAGAAATAATTGTAATATTGATTAAAGTATGCATGGTAGCATAATAGAAGAAAAGTAATGTACTTGTCTTTAGCATGAAAGTATTCTAAATTAATCTAGTCGTTTTTCCTTACTTGGTTTTTTTCTCTTCTCTTAATAATGATCCGTAGTGAGCATATATGGAATGTATAGCATAAAATAGCAAAATATAGAAAATTGAGTTATTTAAATAATATTTTTTTAAATTAATTTTTTCTATTACCTTGATTGAAGTAGAAAAAAAAGAGAATAATATATATATCTTATCTTTTTTGAAATGTGTTAAAAAAATTAAGTGTTACAAAATCAATTTATCTATCATCAGAAATGCAATAATTATATAATGACGTGTGTCAAAGAAAAGTTTTAATGATAATATTCTCGGTTTTGTTTCATTTTCTATTTGTTTCAGTGATATTTTTTTCTTGATCTTCAGGGGTTATTCTACCTCTTGAACTCTATAGAGTATTCATTTAAGGAAAGTGCATCTTGTTTTCTTTGAGAAGAGCATTACAAATATTTTATTTGTACAAACTTTGATATTATTTATTAAAAAAATATCCAATAGCAAGTGAAAATAAGTTGTGTCTCGAATGAGAAGCTCTTATACACTTAATTAAAATTTTGAAGAGTGATTGATCTAGATATTAAAAAAAAAGACTAAACGAGTCCCTATGAAAATTTTCTGGTGATGTGTATATTCTAGAGATGGGCAAGTTAAGATAAGTCAAATCAGACTTGTCTTGACTTGACCTGAACCTCAAAAACTTCTGACTCGTACATCTTGGGTATATTTCATCTGAAGTTAGTATCGTTGCCGTGTTTTTTTTTGAGAAATGTACTCTAAATATTCTTAGATAAATGTTTAAGTTCCTAAGAAATATTTTGCACTAATGTAGAAGGATATGATTTGATTCTGAGAAGAACTGGAAATAGAACAAGAATAAGAGTACTGTCATTAGAAATATGCGTTTAAAATATTCTATACACAGCACAAAAAAAAAATTCTTCATACGAGGTTCAGAAATCCATCCTTCTTCTTATTATATGCTAGATCACGATTTTCAAAGATGAAATCTTTTTTGAACAATGAGATTCCAAATTTGCTTGAGATGGTTCAGTGTTCACCTGTTTCTGTTTTTATTATACACATATAAATATCTTTGTAAGCGAAGAATTGCAATTTTTCTTTCATATAAAACGCGAATGTTGACCATTAAGAATTTGAACATATTTCCAAAATAAAAAAAATATTATAAAGAAGACGAATGTTAATCCTTGTCTGGCGGAAATAATTAGACAAAGTTTGTGAAATATATGAAAATGAATTTGACATGTTTTGTTTTCTAAATTATGACACCATTTTTATTTTGTATTATACCGAGTGGCCCAAAAGTAAGGAAAAATAATGGGTATCTAATAATAACTGATGAAAAACTGTTAATGATATTTTTCATACTTTTTATTGATGTAGAGAGCTAAAACTTTCAGAAATAAAAGGTGTTAATTAGATATATACGTAATAAAAATTTCAGCTCTTTTCATCAATAAAAAGTATGAAAAATATCATTAACAGTTTTTCATCAGTTATTATGGGAATACCCATTATTTTTCCTTACTTTTGGGCCACCCGGTAGTTATTGACAATACTATAGAACATAATAATGATCTTATAACTGATGGATATATATGAACGCTTTTCGTCGATCATTTCAGTGTACCAACTAATAAGAAGAGAAATACAGTTTTAATGTGTCGTTAAGTGACATTTGGAATAAATTGATTTTTGTCTCCTTCAATACAGTATGTTAATGAAAACATTATTTTTTTCTTTTATTTTGATCACATAAAAAACACATCTGCTAAATGGTGAGGACAAAACAGTCAAGATTGAGAAAAACATAAGGAAGAGTTTATTTTAAAAGAGTGTTAATTCTATCACTGTGCTCATTATTTTTCAAATCGATGCTCGGGTGAGAATGTGGGTGTAGAAGAGGGTGTGCGTGTGAGTGTCTATGTGTGAATGTGGGTGTAGGTGTGAGTGTGAGCATGGACGTGGATATAAAGGAAAGACCTATCCCCACACCAACACGTGCATCCTAAGAATCCTTAGAGCATTTCTGTGGCATACCATTGGAGTGCGATGAAATGCGAAATGTTCGCATTTTCTCTTGGGTTCCGAAAATAGTTAGAGTAGCTCTATTGTGTTTTACATTTTAATTCAACACGAATAACTCTAACAGTTTTTCTTCTAGTTTTCTTTATCTTTGCTTTTTAATGAATATTTTAAGCAAGGGGTAAATAGCAGAGACTTCAGCCGTGAAGTCTCATGAAGTCTTGAAAGTCTTTCAAAATCTTCTGAAGTCTTATGAAGTCTCATGTATTCTCATAAAGTCTCTTGAAGTCTCTGAAGTTTCATAAAGTCTTATGAAGTTTCATGAAGTCTAATAAAGTCTCATGAAGTCTTATGAAGTCTCATGAAGTCTCATGAAGTCTCTTGAAGTCTAATGAAGTCTCATGAATTCTTTTGGAAGTTTTGAAATACATTTAGTGCATGAAAATTCATAAGAAACCAATGAAATTGTCTTATTTTCGACGGTCTTATTTTAGCAGAAAGATGAACCTTTTATTGTTTTTTTTTCAATGTGCTGGAAAAAAATTCAAGTTTGTTAGATCTTAGAAAACATGATAGTTAATAACTGAATGCTTTTTGAATGAAGTGATTTATTTTTATAAGAAATGTTCCATCTATTCGATGTCAATCTTATGAAGAATTTTATTCCTTTTTGTTTGTTTCTATCACTCGTGATAATCTATCAGCCGATAAACGGCTAGCTTTATCGGTCAATAACCAACAAGCCGTTTGCTTGTGTATAAATTTAGTCTTGTTATTTATTTGCACCGGAAAATAGGAGTTTTTCAATGCTGGATTAATCGAATCAAATATACGCGTACCAGTAAAGTTTATTTTCTCTGTTTTAATTTCATCAACGCTTGTGTCATTGCCATATCTTTATTCTAGATATGGATATACTGCGAGAAACAACTCTCAGAAACTAGAAACGCCTTTGTAATCTCTATATGATTAGTTTTGTTTTTTGCATGTTATGGAAGTTTCATGTAATTTCTATAAGGTTTTTTGATACTCATAGAATCTGCCTCTTGAAGTCTTGTGAAGTCCTATGAAGTTTTATGAAGTCTAGCGAAGTCTTGTGAAGTTTTATGAAGTCTTATGAAGTTTTGCGAAGTCTGGCGAAGTCTTGTAAAGTTTTATGAAGTCTTGTGAAGTCTTATAAAGTCTCAAGAAGTCCTACAAAGTCTGTGAAGTCTCACAAAATCCGTGAAGTCTCATGAAGTCCGTTAAGTCTCACGAAGTCTGTGAAGTGTCACGAAGTCTTTGGAAATCCTCTGAAGTCCCATGAAATCCTATGAAGTCTTGTGAAGTCCCCTGAAGTCCTACAAAGTCTTATGAAGTCTTGTGAAAATATGAAGTCACTGTGGTTGAAGTCTTGAAGTCCGCAGTTTCCCCCTTGGTGACAATTATGAAGAATGGGTTTTTGAGGAGTATTATTTGATCAAAAAAGAGTCTTTGTGAGTCTCATTCCCTACTATAAAAAGGGTTGCAATACGTGCTCCTGGTCATTTGAAATGAGAGTCCGGTATGAGTAACAAGTATGAACAATACATTTTTGAGTAGTATTATTTGATCAAAAAAGAGTCTTTTGAGTCTCACCTCCTACTTTATAAAGGGCCGCAACACGTGCTCGTGGCGATTTCAATTGAGAGTTACATATGAGTGACAAGTATGAAGAATGGATTTTGAGAGGTATTATTCCATCAAAAAATAGTCTGTTTTATTGTTTTTGAGTCTCATCTTACTATATAAGGAGTTGCAGCAGGAGTCGGTGGTCATTTGAATATAGAGTTAGGTATGAGTAACAAGTATGAACAACGAATTTTTGAAGAGTATTATTTGATTCGAAAAGAGTTTTTTGCAGTCTGCTTGAGTCTGACGCCCTACTATATAAATGGCTGCACTCGTGCTGGTGGTGGTTTCAGTTGAGAAGAACATCAGAGTAAAAAGTATGAACAATCGATTTTTTAGCGGATGGTTTGATGAAAAAACGTTTTTTTCCGTATTTTTGAGTTCCGCTCCTGTCATTATACAGACGCGCACGGTGAGATGTGTGCTGTTGCGGTGTACAAAGAATCACGAACAAGAATGATGAGCAGCTGATTTCGGTTATTGAAGTGTAGTCATTTGGATAGCTTTTCTTTTGCGGTCCCTACGTAGTCTCTAAGGAAGAATCCTGCTTCATTTTCGTATATATGTAAAGAAATTTTCCACCATACGACCGATTTAAAAAGAAACCACAATGCGTCAACGTTTTGTGTTTAACACAAAGCGTTTCATTAGAGAATATCCCCAAACGCAAACATTCACTAGAATACAATCCTGCCTTTGAATGAAAAAATGATTAATGCTCTTTTCACATCTGCTTTTATAGTTTTCCACCTCATAGAAAGATCTTGCAAAAAGTCTCTGGAACCTAGAAAACGACCTATTTTCAAACTTTTGCGCACTAACAAATCTCACAAGAAAAGTCTTCATAGCTCTCAAACAGAATGTTTCGTACCTATTCGTAATCGTCAGAAGAACCCCAAAGAACTCTCGCAAGGTGCTAGACTGCTCCCCGTCGAGTCTTTTTTCAACTGTTTCACACTATTATAAGGAGTTCTCTTCCGGCGGAAAACTTATCAAAAGCTTCCCGAAACATCTTTTTCTCTGGGCCCTTAAAAGTCCAAAAAAGAGTCGATTAAGACTCGATTCAATCTTTTGTGCCCAAAGAAAAAGACATTTTGAGACTATTTCAGTCTTTTGAATGATCTCTCTCCAACCGAAAAAGGTCTCAAATAGTGTCAAAAGATCTTTTTCTCTTGGCGCAGAAGGTCTCAATCGAGTCTTCTCGAGACTTTTTCAGACTCTTTTTGCGACTTTTGAAGCCCAAAGAAAAAGACTTTTTCAGACTTTTCTGAGACTTTTTTTCTCGGAGAAAAGCCCTTGAAAAAGTCTCAATAAATAAGTCTAAAAAATTTCCAATAAATAAGTCTCAAAAATTCCCAATAAATAAGTCTCAAAAAGTCTCAACGAATAAGTCTCAATCAGTCTCAAAAAGTCTCAA